CTCAGTCTGAAATAAAATAGTTCACTGCACAGGAACAAACTTATGGTACTGACTTGCGAACAGCTAGAACATCAAGTCTCTAAAATGAATGAAAGCAGTAAGGAAATACTGGAGCAATTCAGATGACAGAGAAGGTTAATAAAACATAAGATACTGAAAATGTATATGATACATAGAAAACAAATTGGGAATTAGAGAAAAACATCACTTTGCCTTTTCTGCATTTCTTTTGACAATTCTAAAACTAGTTACAGATGATTCTCTTCCTGAAATGTCCTGCTTTGAATTTCTCTATTTACAACAAACTCACAGTATAAAGAGTGATTTAATGAAAACTCACATGCTTATTATATATAAGGATGCCCTTAATATAATGCACATTTCAATCCCAAATCTGATTTATTACTAGGGAACATCATAAAGTTAATTATCCATAAGATACATGAATCACATGGTAAATTCCAGACATAGCTGCTGAACTTTTCAGTAGTCACTAAATGATTTTTTTAAATGTATGTGTTGTGGTTTCCATGCCACTTCTGATACTTTCAGTCATTACCTTTTCTAGCAAGCATGCCAGTTTATGCCCAGCACTTCTCTACAAATTCTTTCCTATTTTGGACATTTTAAATATCTTTTCAGAGGTCCTTTTTGTCTAACATGGCACAGTATTAAGTGGAATTAAACTTGGATGATCCACAGTGAAACCCATACTCGAGAAGTGTGTCCTGAACGGACCATTGTAAACCTTTTAAGTCTTCAGGAAATTCAGCTTCAATCATATTTGAATATAGTCATACACTCATATGTTCAGGCATGAAGAGGCACAGCATGTGCTCTAGTAAGAGCTTTGCCTATGATAGGTCAGAGAGGTCTGCATCATCCCCCCCAGACAAAACCAGAGCAAGGTATGCCAGCCTTCATTTCCTCCCTACTTTAAATCCATCCCAAAAGTAAGACCAGTTTCAATCCTGTATAAATGTGGTGTAAGACCATGATAATACTGAAGTCATCCACCCCTAGTAAAGCAATAATAAAATCATCAAAGTCAGATATCACATTTTCATTTGTAATGAAGCACTCCTACCTTTTCAGCTTCATATAATTTTCACTAGCTGCAGGTCTGCATTCAGCACGTTGCACCACTATTCCTTCCAAAGCAAGTTTATCTAGAACGAAAAGCAAAACTGGACATTAAAATGAAAGCCACCAACATGGTCAGCATTTGAATTATTTTTCACTAACTAAGAATCTACTAAATAAAATGTAATTATAAGTTCTCAAATAAAGTTCTAAAATCTCTGTTATTTAGACACCAAAGAGATAAGCAGGAAAAACATGTTTGCACAGCTGGTATACCCTAGACTTCCTTATTTTGCCTTCAGATGTTTTATATATTAAGAACGAATCACAAAGATCAAATTTGAAGTAAAAGGTGGCAACGCCTTTCTCTAGATGTTGCACTCTGATTATCTAGGAACCATTTTCTGGAAATGTGCAATGAATACAGTCGGTGACTATAAAGAACATAATGTACAAAAAGAACCAATTATCAAGTATCCAAAATTAGTGGACAGCAAAATGAAAGTTAATTTTACTCCTATCCTCAGGAAAAGAGTTTTTCATCTTATTACAATATTAAAAAGAAGTTCACTAAAGGAACACGATGCAATAAAGTAATAATACAACATATGCTAACACTCAGGGAAAAGAAATAAAAACTTTCAGTTAATAACCTGGGACATAACATACATGTATTTTAGTTGATACTCGTCTCTCTACATTCACCTCTGTGACAGTCACTGTTATCCAATGCGACCACCTTTTTGCCTAAAGCAATGATGACCAACAGAGCAGTAACAGCCGACTCCATAAAGGTAGGGAAGCCCAAAAATTAAAGGTAACTTGATATAGAAAGGAAGAGAGAAGTTATGATGGGCAAACACCTGCATTTCTACTACAATGTTCTATTGCATAATGTGGGAGGGGAGGGGAGGGAAGGGGGAGCCTGTCAATTTGTTCATCCCTTTTGGACATCGTCAGTGCAATATGTGTAAAACAAACACCTCTGGAACAGCCTTGCCAAACAACAAACGATGAGCTTTAATGGCTTGATTAGCTCTCACTATTTAAAATGTCTTTCCAACAAAGTCTTTGCTATTGGGGTGGGGCACCACACTGCCATTGTCACCTTCAGCTGGCAACACAGACGATAACAGGAATGCTTAGAAGTACTGATGCCAAGCAACACAAGGCACTCTGACACGCCTCTGACTTTTCTATTGCCTTATAGACTAAAATATTACTACATCTGCAAATCTAAGTCTGCTCTCCCTGAATAATGCAGAGAGCAATTACTTCAACATCATGTATTTTAAAATGATTTAATCTAAAATTTTTTGGTAATCCTTGAAGGGAATAAGAATGCCATATTTTTTTCAGATAGTTTTACATGAAGCAAAGAAAATTTGTACTAAAACACTTCTGGTTTTGCAGATTTCTAGGTTTACATTCAGGAGAGACAACTTGGCAAATTTGCCTGACTTCCTATATGTTACATATAGAAAAATTCTATTGTCTTTCTTTTCTATAGAACCTAGCAACTTATTTGTGGCTAGTGGTACTAATACTACTGTTTAATTTCTAATAAGAATTTGACTCCAGCTTTTAGCAGTTGGTTCTTCTTATGATTCTATACTATTGTAAAGAGCCTTTCAGTACCTGGTGTTTTCTCCCTTTGAAAGTACTTATACACAGTAATCAAGTCACTTCTCAACCATCTTTTCAATAAATGAAGTAATTTAAGCCCATGCATTATCTCATCATAAGGCATTTGTGGCACACTTAAATCAATTTTGGGTTTCTTATTTGTGTCTTGTTCAATCTTGAAATGAAGTTAAATACAGAGACCAGAAACCAGACATAATACTATTGTACTGATCTTACAAAAAACATACATGGAGGTTAAATAACAGATACAGGAGCTAGAATTTCTCTCACCTCACTTCAGACATCTCAATTCAATCTCTGAATTCAGCTGAGAGAGGTAGGAAGGGACTGCTGAAAGAAAATTGGTCCCACCTCTTTTAGAATTCAGTTATCTGCCTTGCGCTGGATTTTTTTGTTGTGTTTTTTTAGGGGTTTGGTTTTGGGGAGGTGGGGGCTTCAAGGGGGGGTGGGCAGGACATTGCTGTCTGTGTCCCATGACCACTTCATGTTTAGATGGCTAAACTCTGTTAAGATCAATTTGTCTCTAAAAATCAAGATCTGAGCGTTCATGGAGCTGACTGGCTATTATATTACTAACACAACTGTTTTGAGTATTTTCTAAACTCACATTTTATCTATGTGCTCTGCGTCCTCAGTTCCTAGGTGTATAATTGCCTTTTGCTTGGTTAAAATGCATTGTCTATAAACAGATTCTGTGAATTACACGATCCCAGTCACACCATGACAGTCCTGTCATAGTTATTCACTGTCTGACCAGCATTTGTGTCAATCATGACATTTTATAAAGCAGTGATTCTCACTTACTACTACTGTTTTCCTTGCTAATCCTGCAGGAAGCCCTTCAAACTACAACTCCAGTGGCTTCCTATTCATAATTACTTTCTGAAAACTGTCAGTTTTTAATCTTGTTCTGTGCTTGCTAATTTTTTTTATACATAAACCGGAATGTCACAAGATTCTATGTGCAATATGAAATGCTAAGCAGGCTGCAGACATGCTGTTACTTTAAACTCACAATCTTCAAAATAAACAAATAAACAAAATTCAGTTTGTTTGAACAGAAAACCTTTGCACAAAGCCATGTTTGCTAGCATTTGTCATATTTCCAATCTTATCTATCTCTTGAACTCTGTAACAATTTTTCCACTAGTTTCTGTGGTACAGGTTCAAGGCTCACTAACCTATATTCATCTGAGCCATCCAGCTGCCCAAACACTGACATGTCACCATCAATCTCCCCGCATCTTGCAAAATTTTCAAATTATTTTTAAGTTTTAAGGATTAGGATAGGTAAAGCTGAGAGCTCCCTCATACCAACTGTTTAGGAAATGAACCTGCCAATTAAGCATGCTTATCCTCAGTATTATCATAGAATCACAGAATGGTTTAGGTTGGAACGGACCTTAAAAATCACTTAGTTCCAACCCCAATGTCATAGGCTGGGACACCTTCCACTAGACTGGGTTGCTCAAAGCCACATCCAATCTGACCTTGAACGCTGTCAGGGATGAGGCATCCACAGCTTCTCGAGATATCTTATCTTTGATGTCTTGGCTAATACTCTCTTTTAATTACCACTGATCCAGATTGACTACTTCAGTCAAATCCAGACAAAATGTTCCAATTGCCTCACAGTACAAGGCTGTCCAGTCTCCAAGAACACTGCCTTGCAGCTAAAACTTGTCTGCTGTTTAGGCTCATCCACTGTGCAAAAGCCAAGGTTTATGTCCCATTTTCCCTGGACCCTCTCAGGGATTTTAACACACCCAGAGAGTCTAGCAGAATAAATCTGCAAAGACACATGCAAACCCCTTGATACAAGACTGTAGTGGAGGATACAGTTTTTACTCTCTTTAAAGCGCAATTATCCCTCATTCACCAAACTCAAATTCAGAGACTTGGGTCTGTCTTCTCCTGTTGCAGGACCAGAGCTGTACTGAAAAGATATCCAAAGTGCTACACATCTGCCTTGGTATTTCCATAGTCACATCAGCCTAGAAGGAAACGGATGAATAAGGCATGAAAGTGGTAATTCCCTGTTAGGGAAAAGGCAATTCCCTACTCAAATTAATGCAGATAGTACAAGATAAATAAACAGCTCTGGAAGACTAGCTACGATCAATGATGAGAAGGGAAAATAAAACATCTTCCCAAGTGTCTTAAGCTCTCAGTTGCCCTAAATGGGGTGGCAGGTACAAATACACAGTAAGTGTGGCTCCCAACAGGCTAGTCTATATTACCCATAGCTTCATCATTAGCTGCCAAATGGAGCCCCTGGTGGTTTAGTGGTAAGGCGCGGCGCTGCCACCGCCAAGACCCGGGTTCGATTCCCGGTCAGGGCCACTCCCGGGCAGGTGGGGCTCGTTAGCCCTTAAAAAGGCAACCCACCTACGTCCTGAGGACCTTGCTGCCACCGTCCAAGCTCGCTTGGCCCCAGCAGATGAACCTTAGGATTAAAGGGTGGGCTCAGTTCCGCGCACACTGTGTCTCACCTAAAAAATCCAATGCGCAGGCTGGAAGGTGTAAAGACCTTCCCCGGATCTTCGCTCGCAAAGACTGGCCATTATTATTATTAGCTGCCAAATGCACGCTCACCCTGACCTCCCTGCCCAAACGCCCTGGTGCTAATTCATAAAGTAATTTCAACTGTTGTCTCAGTGAGATGATCGAGAGAGATGCTGGGGAGATGCCGATTCCACTTTCAAGTCCTGCTGACTGTCATTATCAAATTAACAGAATGTGGTAAAAGCATTTAAGGCAATTTCCACAAACAGGCATGAGAGAAATTTACTGAAATTGTGCAGAATATGGTCTGATAGGGTTTGGATTGTTGAAGTTTGGAGAGAGATGGACTGACTTGAAGATTTTTATTTATCAGTCTTCTATTTGACTGCACTCAGCTCCAATTTCCAGGCACTGGATCTGGTCCTTTAGCAACTCCTCCACTTTGTGAGCAGTGCCAACAAAGAAGGAGATGAATACCTTTCTCAGTATGCACAGTTCTCAGGCAGCAGTAAAAAGCAGATGAAAGTGCAGTAAGGACAGGCTAAGGGCATTTGTGCCTCCAGCTCCTTGACTGATAGAAGTTGCGCTGTTGCTTCCCAGCTGTCATGGTTTAACCTGTCAGCAACCAAGCCCCATGGACTGAGCAGGACCCTGCTCATTTCCAGCTGAACACCACTAATAGCCATAAATTCAGTCTAGCACATTCCTGTCAAATTTGTCATTATCTCAAACCCTTTGAGCCTCACATTAGGCACCAAAAAAGACTGCCATGGTTTAACCCCAGCCAGCAACCAGGCCCCACACAGCCACTCACTCACTCCCCCACCAGCAGGATTAGGGAGAGAATTGGAGGGGTAAAAGCTAGGAAACTTGTGGGTTGAGGTAAAAATAATTTCATAGGGAAAGCAAGAGCTGCACATACAAGCAGAGTGAAACAAGGAACTAATTTGCTGCTTCCCATGTGCAGGCAGGTGTTTAGCCATCCTCAAGAGAGCAGGGCCCCATCACACATAACAGTTACTTGGCAAGATAAACACCATCACTCCAAATGTCCCCCCTTTCCTCCTTCTTTCCCACAGTTTATATACATAAGTGTGATGTCATATGGTCTGGAATATCCCCTTGGTCAGTTTGGGTTGCCCATCCCGGCTGTGTCTCCTCCCAGACTCACATGCACCCCTAATTTCCTTGCCAGCGTGGTAGTATGAAGAGCAGAAAAGGCCTTGGCTCTGTGTAAGCCCTGCTCAGCAATAAAAAAAAAACCAACCCTCTATATTATCAACCCTGTGTTCAGCACAAATCCAAACCACAGCCCCATAACAGCCACTGCGAAGAAAGTTAACTCTACCCCAGCCAAAACCAGCACACCAGCATCGAAGTTGGAAGCCCTGGTAGCCCACTCTGCTCACTTAAACTGCTGTGCAGCTATTACATGTGTTGGCTGGACATGGAACAGCCCTCTCCTGCACTAGACCTCAGCTCTGCTCTTGCAGACTAAAGGCATTTTACAGCACCTCTCTTGCGTTCAAAGGGCAGCCTCAAAGCTGGTGCCCTTCTCAAACCACCCTTCCCCAGTAGCTATGCAACTAGAGCAGAGGACCACCCAGTCTTCACTTGGCATTCCTTTACTTAGGCATCCAAGGATACATCCTACATATTTTTACTGACCACTGCACAGAACCAGTGACCTTATGCTCAGTTGCCAGTGATGTATCAAACACAGATTAGAGCCTCTGCCCTAACTCTCCTGCAAACATATACACTGCAAGCCCTGTCTAGGGTGCATTCCTTCATATCTGGTGATGTTAAAATGTTATCCTAACCAACGATCCCAATGGTTTTGCATCAGCAATGTATTGCCTTATTGAGTACACTCTCATCAGTATCATCTCCAAAATCACGAGTAACTATCTCTTTCTTGATCACCCACTAAAAGAAAACAGGACCAAGAACCAAACCACGGGAACATTTGAGTGATAATTCTCTGCTTAACATTTGCCAGTTTGAAGCCTGCCGACAATTTTTGTATAGTGAAATGACAGGAAAACTAATATGGTATACATTCTAATACAAAATGACAAATGAAACATACTGAAAGATTTAACAGAAAAAACATCACCTGCTTTTCTGAACAAATTGTAATTAAAAAAAGGGGCAAAAAAATTTGGCTCCACCCATTTTCTTTCCACCCATATTGATTAGTATTATACTATTATCCCTTAATTTTTAACCGATTGATTTCCAAGTCAGATGTTTTACTGATTTTCATACAGTACTTTTTCATATTTAAATACCCATGTCATCCAATTCACCCTTCAAATACTGGCACAGCATTTGCTTTTCCAGCCTTGTAGCATTGCAGTGCTCAAAAATTATTAAAAATATCAACAGCATCTTGAATAGTTTCTTAGATAGCCCTTTGAAAATTCCTGAATGCAAATTTTTCAGACTTGCTGATTTGAAAATCTTCAATTTTAATTACTATGTAGAGCTGTTACTATGTAACAGCTTCAATGGCTGTTAATCAACATCTGGAGATATTATTGGAATGAGAATGTCTATGCTATCAACATCATGAGACAGGAGCTACTGAATGGTTTAACTGTCCAACAACATGGCCAATTTTCTGTGTTACGACAATTTAATGTCGTAAGGAAAATAAGCTGACTCAACAACCAAATGGATTTCATTAGCATGGTTTCCTAATACATTTCTAAAATTCTCTCCCTCTTATAGTCGAGTTTTCTCCTCATATCCTCTTGTACTGTAAAAAATAAAAGTAGCTGTTTTCTGTAATCCAGGTTATTTTCACTGACAGCAGACTGTCAGTGAGGTTGATATTCTTTGGATAGGTAAGCTGAACGATTGGTAGCTTTTCTGTAGTGTGCTCTGGTCCTGAATTCTCAGTTCCACAGCACGCTCAAGCTTCCAGACCAGGAGGTTCGGGAAGAGGGCAGAAATTCAGTAGGACTGAGGTCATTTTCCAAAAGGAAACTTGTAGGGCAGAATGAAGGGCAGATGCCTAGCCTTTTCCTCCTTGGTTTTGTTTTTCTGTTAGGTGAATAATACTGCATTTTCACTGTCTCCAGGATGGCTTGTTTGACTGAGAAGAAACTGGAAAAGCTCTGTGGATTGCCCTTTAGTGCAACCCAAAGGGGGACTAACTTGGAAACTTCTACAGCCACTCTCCTAAGTGTGTGCAAGGGTGCTTCGTATATTTTCTGGTTTAATCTGGAACCAAAACAATGTCCTTTCAATTGCTGGATTCCAGCACTATTCCTTACCTGAATGCTGGCCAATCCCAGCATACAGCTGACACTGATAATCTGTGAAGCAGCCGTCACTTTAGGATTGCTAACTACCCACCATTGGCAAGTGGGACACACCAGCTGGATAGGGCAGAAACAGTTCGCTCACAGCAAGGGAATGCACCCAGCAACAAGTTACTCTGTCTCAATCCAAGCTGCAAGCAAGAATATCTGACATGCACTTAGCACATCTCAATTGTCACACCAGTACACAACAAAAAAAGACTCTCAGAGCACAAAAATGGTCAAAGTCTTGAACTTGATTGCAAGAAATACATCCATATCTTTGCCAAAATGAGCTTCTGGATGATCTTCCAGTGCATGGACAAAAAGACAGAAAAAAGGAAATCCAGCATAGCTACACCTTCAAAAAACAGTGAGCTATATGAAACCACCCCACTAAAACTACATGCATAACAATACCATATATATCACTGAGTGCACAGGAAGAACCAGAGTTTTTTTGAAAAGTCTAGTACTACGGCACAGAAAATGGAAAATTTTCACCAAGAAATGCCAGGCTTTAGTTTTGTATCACAGATGACTGTCAGCTGAAGTGAAATAAAGTTACATGGGTTTGTGGTGATGAAAATTTTACAGCAGCTCTAAATTTTTCAAGTCTCAAAGGTTTAAATGTAAATATTCATGAACTCCACAGAGTATATTTTCCACATCAAATCCATTTTGAATATCTTATCATACAAACTACTAGAACGATTTTGCATGATCTTTCAAAGAATACTTACTTGTTCACCGAAGTGGAAAATTTCATCTGCAAGTGTTAGAACATTGCAGAAGATGATGATTTGAGCAGATACTGTTCTGTAACTTCTGTCTCTTAAAATGCAGACAGCTTAACTGGCCATGGAAAATTTCTTTTTTACAAATCCCTGCTCTCCTAGGAAATTCCTGCTCACCTATGCCAGGACACTGCTAGTTCAGCTTCAGAGTATTTCAAGTTCAATGTGTAAGATGCAAGTGCCACAGAATTCATTCTCTTAGAGTTTAACAGACAATAAGGTGGTTCAGTATTGTAGCTATGCCTGATCTAAGCCCATTAAGTAAATTTTCCATCACTTGACAATAAACTAAATTTGAATGGATGTCTCCTGTAACAGAAAAAAAAAAAATCATACTTGAAACTAACTGGCTCTTTCACTGTCTCAATTATTAATTCAATAACTATGAAAGGAGTTAATTTTGAAAAAAGTCAAATGTTCAAAAGTTAGAAACTAGTTGAAATCCCTTCGACTGAAGTTATGTTGAACATATCCATGGTATCAAAGAGTTAAAAACAAAACCATGACTAATTCCTGATAAATCAAACCTAATGAATAATATCTGCTTAATATATCCCATACAACAGCAGAAAAATTTAGTGTGTAAGTGCTAGAGATACCCTGGCAAGAAGAATAGTGAGGAAAAAAAAAAGTGCATTTATTTGCACTAGATTCAGTTATCAATTAATAAAATACGACAGTGATTACCCTACTGTATCAATAAACAGCCTCAGAGACAGTGGAAGCAGT